AATTTTCTTCATTGGTGCTACATGAATTAGCTGTTGTCCTAAAGTGATACATAGAGAATCACAATGTCTTTAAATCATTTCAACAAATTTACTCATCACAAACAAAGATCACACTGTTAAATAACAGAATAACCCAAGTAAATTTTAAATTATGCAGTCACGGTCACTACTTTCCACTTCTATAGTATAATTTCAGTAGTAATTCAATGACTCAATTTTCAAGTGTTGCCCACATCGTCATGAAAATTCCACTGTATTCCACCTCTATCCCATTTTTTTTATAAGTTTTGAGAGAACACCATCTGAGCAGCTGAACAGAATGGACAGCCATTGTAAGGAGGGAATGGGGAAAGAAAGAAGCAGTAGAGACACAAAGCTGACCTAGGAAATTAAACCAAGTATTAAAAAAAAAATATTTGGGTCACCCCCTGTTCTAAAAAACTAAGGCACAATGGTTTTCGAGCTATTAAATTATGCTTCCTCCCTGGTTTATTAATATATTGACCAGAGGGTAGGGAATTCACAAAGGACCTAGTATCATCAGCAGAAATCTGCAGAGTATTACTCCTTTTAAATGGTGAGTAGCAAAAAAAAAAGAAGCTAGATTAAATTGGAGAGTATATTGGAGACTAGAAAATGTGGTGCTTAGGTGGAAGAAGAGAGAAGCAAGTGACGTAGGCAATTGTTATCCTGACTTCAACGTAGGAAAAGTTGGGGTTTTCTTTTTTCTCAATTAAAAGGTAATTAACAATAAGGAGGACAAATGAAGAAAAACCAGCAACCAAACAGGATAATTTCAATATAACTTTAAAAAGACATATTAGTCTGGAACAAATAAGCTAACTTTTAATAGCTTGAATTTTTAAAAGGAAATCCAGAGTCCAATCTCTCCAGATTCCAGTAAAGAATTTGATATGGTATCACCAAGCAATTATTTACTGAGTTGGAAAACATAAAGATATATAAAATATAAAACTGACTAACAGTGACATATTGAATGGACTTATTTAAAATCCTTCTTCATACTCATTTTATTTCATGTCTGTGGACCTGGCAAAAAAGTAGAGGTGTTTTGCTAAAAACAGGTCACAGGAAGCTCTTTTGATACAGGGGAGGCTCTTGCTAACTTACAGAAGACATTGGAGGACCATTGAGACAGGCATATTAGATATGGGAAAACATTTAGCAACTCTTCAGAGCCACATGATTACAAATAGCAGACTTTCTGTGATGACACGGTACCTTATCATTCAAGAGCAACAGGAAAAGAGAAAGCACACCCCCATGTCTAGTTTACTGCAGGAAGATGAAGCCAGCCTGGCATACCTGCAAAACAAACCTCATCTTCACCAATACCTGATGAAGTATTTTCAGTAGACTAAGTGGAGCATTATCACTATTATTCAAGACTTTGAGGAAACACTTCAGGTACAAGGTATTTGACGCAGGAGAGATACATTCAGAATTTGGGAGAATCAAGTTGCTAAACTCTGTATCTTCCTATTCTGTTTTACTAGACAGACTAGAAGGTGCTTGCTCTGCTTGTTTGATCCTAGCATACAAAAACCATTTATAATTTATGGAGGGCTACACACCAAGGAAGTTGTTTTTAAATAACAACATTAAGATATTAAAAATTAGGAATCAAAGAATATATTTAGGCTGGAAGTTCAAAGAAAGTTCTAAGCATCAGGAGAAAGGTTTTTGAACATCTTTCCAGAAAGAGCAACAGGGTAAAGTACTTAACTGACTTTAAGGCAGACTGAGGTGACTTGATGACTGGGATCAGATAAAATTGTTGCCTAATTCAGAAAGGCCTTTTCTTCAACCCTGAATTACTTCGGTGAAGCACTGCTCCCTATTCCATTCCCACCCTTCCAGGTCTTTTTGTTCCTATTACTCCCACTAAAGTTAAACTGCAGATATGAAAGGACTACATGCAATTTTTTTATCTTTAAGAGAAACTGGTCATAAGACTTAAACCCTTACCTCTCTAACTTCCATGTTTTTACAGAATATTGCATTTGTCTTCATTTGTCCTCCTTGCCAGTTTAATGGATTCCTGCTTACTATATAAACAGCCAAAAAAGAAATTTGATTGTACTCTATACATACACGCATACTGCTGACACTGTCCTTTCTATATTGATGTTGCTACCCAAAACCTTAAGCTTCTGTTAGGACATGCGGCTACCTGCACCCATGGTAACATACTACTAATACGTTAATCATTAAACAACCTGTTCAAAAGTTCTCTTACGGCAGTGTGTAACTCAAAAACAGATACAGAAAATTGAGAGGGCGTATTCACACGACTACAGGTACAGACCAGTTCCCACACAGTTATTTGTATAGCATTAAGGAAACATAAAGCAATGTTGCAGAATGCTAACTCTTCTCCATCCAGCTTCTTTCCAAGCTATGTCCTTCAAGAAGCATGCAGCACTACGGTTTCCTGACAGAAAAAGCATGCTCAATCTATTGCAAATGTTGAAAAGGTAGGCGGGTCTGTCATTCACTGAAGTCACCAAGCCTGCAATCCATTGTATCCAACACAAACAAGTAATTATTGTACACACAATAAAGTCCGGTGACTGTAAAGACATTTCCCTGAATCCTTCTGGCTCACAAATGATTTTTTTCATTTTAGGTTAGAAAAGAAGCAAATGCTTTTCCAGTGTAACATGATCCACACTTTGACAGCCAATTAAAAATGTACACTGGACTGAAACATAAGTAATGACAGAAATTTTTCAAACCCCTAATTTTTCAGAACTTCATATTATCCGCATATGATCTACATAGCCAAAGCACTGGCCAGAACAATGCCAGTTACCCAGAAAAAATGTTTCTGTTGTAGTGCTATCTTAACAAATAAATGCCCCCAGCTTAAAACTCTGGCCACTTAGGGGACTTTTGTTCATGATAGCATTTTCAGTTAGAGACATAAGAATTAGAGAAGAAAACAAATTGCTCTCCTGTTCCAAGTTCAAAGATAAAGCCAACAAAGTCGACCTTTACCGTCTCTTTTTCTGTGATAAACCGAATCCTCAACAACTGAATCTCTTTTAATTGATTTGTTATAGACTAGACCGAGGCTTCCACCTTAAATGTCATAAACTGCTGTATGTGTGAGTATGATTTAGTTCAACAGTGGCATGCAGTCTTCAATTTGACATAAAGACCCCATTTCAAAATATTTCTTCCCCTCTGACTAGCCTCCTTTTAAATTTTCATCTTTTTATTTCTGGCTTGTGCTTATTTTTGGCTCCCTTATTTTGTTGGTTTAGAACAGTGATACAAAAACTACTGCATAAATACTTGTTTTCAATGTAAGCGTACTGAGTGGTTAGCCTATCTCATATGTTCTTGCTTACCTCATAGATTTCTGGGTTATTATTAGTTTATTTTACTGATATAGCCCTCTTTTGCCACACACATACACACACTTTCAGAGTTTATGAAACTTGCAAATCACATGTGCTGTTCAAGCTCCTTAATTCCCTCATTGTGATGACATGACTTAATGCAATGCAGTCTCCATCTATAACACAAAGCATCTTTCTAATCAGAAAGCAATGTAAGTGGAACAAAAGCGGTTAATATTTGCCACTTACAGTATTATCAAAAATATTCCAGGCTAGTAAAACAATTAACCCCAATTTCCACCTGAAATGATAAAACTTCAGTCTCATTTTGCCAGAAACTAAACTAGTCAAATATATGAAAAATCACTGATGTAATAAAGTATTAATCATTTCTACAATATGAAACCATGATCATATCAGCCTAAAAACCTCATTTCTTATTTTATGAAGAAATACCTGCCACAGGAATAAATATTCCTAAACACAAACATCTTACTGAACAGTAGTTCTCCCCAGTTCAGCTCATTTAACAGGCAAGTGTCAAGAACTATGACAGTATTGCCTTAGAGAGAGTAGAGACAGACAGTGAAATTCCTGGAAGTAGCTAATCACAGTTTTTGAGTTGTTTTTTGGTTTTGTTTTCAAAGGATGGAAATACTCAAAGCAGACATCACACAGATTTTAGTTGCCGTAGCTGAGAAAGTCAACCTTTTCAATGGAAGTTGTGGTCTCCTTAGTCCAAGTTTTCTCCATTCTGTATCTCAGGAAAATATGGTTTTGTAAAGGCTAAAAACTGAAAGTAAAATTTAACAGCCTGGTTATTTTCAGTCTTTCCATGTGGAGCAAAAAAAAGAGGACACATGTGATTCTAAAGCATCCTTATACTGTCAATCACTTCCAACTCTACAAGAGATTTCAGGCTATAATATGTAAATCATTACTCCATCCTCTAATAGTACTTTGTATTTAATCAGGAGAGAAGAAAAATCCCTTCTAGAATTACAATAAATAACTACAGTTTTAAATGAAATTATGTAGTTTATATCTGACCTGAGTTTCAGTCTTTTCCTAGTGGGAAATATGAATTCAGCATACGGATACATAATCCTAACGCCCTCAGCAGCCGGCTCCGCCGCCGACACTCGACATGATTTATCGCTCTCCCCCGGACTCAGGTCTCGCTGGAGCAGGTGCGACCGGGCGATTTTTCCTTCCTTCCGACATCATTCCCTCCGATGTCAATTAATTAGCGAGTCGTCGTCGCTCGCGCGTAAGCGAGGAAGATGAAGCTGATGGATGACCAGCGTTTAGTTTCTCTCAGGGAGCGCGTGCCCGGCCGAGGGCGGGGGTTCGCTCTCGGTGCTGCCGGACCCGCAGCGCTCGGGACAGCGTCAGCGGCGGCGACAGCGACCCCGCTCCCGCCGGGCGCGTCCGGAGAGCGATCCTTGAGGCAGGGGCAGGGTCTGGGGGGGACCCTCGAGGACGGGAGGGGACACCCTCCCGCGCCAACACGCCCGTTCCCCCAACCCCCGTCCTGCGAGCCCCAGCCGCCCTGCCCCCTCCGCGCCCCCGCCGCCCCGGCCCCTCTCCTCACGCCTGGGGAAAGCGGGAGCGAGTCCCGGGTACCGTTACCTCCTCCGGAGCCATGGGGAACGCTGTGGCCTCGGCTTCGGCTCGGCGCCGGAGCGGAGGGGACGGCGCTCTCCTCACTCCCCCACCCGCCGCGCCGCGCCGGGAGCCGGCGGCACAGCCCGCTGCACAGAAACGCGTGTACCGGCGGCCGCATCGTCATTCATTCATCAGCCCCGGTGACCAGAGGAGGCAAGGCGGGGGGCAGCGGGGGCTGGGGAAGGCAGGCCGCAGGACAGCGTCCCTTCTACCGGAGTTTCGCATCCTCTCCCCTTCCCTCCCCACAGTGCTCCGCCGGCTCCGAGCCGGGGCGGGGGGGGTGTCTCCTGAGGGGAGCGGGCTGGCCCCGGCCGCCCTGCTCAGCGCGCGGGCAGCGGGACCTCGCTCGGCGGGCGGGGCGGGGGGG